TTGATTGGTTGACTTTGATGCATAACTGTCGAGTTTACCTTTAATCGTATTTATTGATTTGAATTGCTTTTGGGGTGAAGTATTGATTTATTTATTCATTGCTTTGCTTAGGGACAAGCAAAGGTTTAGCTTGGGGGAATTTGATATACGTGTTTTATACAATGGTTTTCCCCGGTTTGATTGCATGATTTTACATGGTTTTGAGCTCTACGGAGCTATTTCTTGCTAACAATCTCTTCTTTAGTGTATTCGATTGTTTTAGTAAGCTTTTCAGGAATATGAAGCGTTTCTAGGCAATTGGACGTGTTTTTAGTAGATTCGGAAGAGTTGATAGCCAAGAACTGCAATTTATGTGGAATGCCCGACCGGGCATGGCTTGCCCGGGCAGACCGGGCAATGAGGAGTTCACAGGAAGAAGCCCAATTCTGAACGGTGCAACGCGCGCCCGATCGGGCAGGCTTCGCCCGGTCAGACCGGGCGATGAAGAAATCAAGTTATGAGATGCAATTTTGGAAACGTGTTACGCGCGCCCGACCGGGCGAGGTTCGCCCGGTCAGACCGGGCAAAGAAGGAAAACTGTCGTATTTTACGCAGCCTTCCTCCGCCCGATCGGGCGAGGTCCGCCCGGTCAGACCGGGCAAAGCTCAAGAACGCGTATTTTCTTATTTTTCCGAAATATTATCTTTTGGGGGTATAAATACCCTTTTGTAATTAACTTTTAGACAGTTAGTTTTTCATTAGTTTTCTCCTTAAGCCCTAGAAAACTCTCAAGAACCCTAGTTTTATTTTCTTAAGCAATTTCAATCTTTAATCCTAGTTTTATTAATTGTTCCTCAAGAATTCAAGATCATCAATTGAAGTATTTGGTATTTCTTACTTTCCATCTCTTTTATTTATTTTATAGTTCTTTAATTATGTGTTCTCTATTAGATCTTGTTTTTGATTTAATTATGATTTGTGAGTAGTTTCCTTAATCCGGGATCTTGCTAAGCCCGATTATGATTGATGTATAAAGTAGATCTTTAAATTCCCCAATAATAATCCCAATTGACATGCTTAATTGATTGTGTTTATGCCAATACTAGATTAGGGATAATTAGTATTGTTATCATCCCTTTGTTCTTATTGCAACGGAAGTTGGGTATTAACGGGATTAGGTTATTTCAATTAAGGGTTTGAAGATCATCACGGAAGTAGATGATTGAATAATTAGGAATCTAGGCATGGTGTTTAATGTCCCTTATTCGCTTGATTCCACGGAAGTAGGCTTGATAGTTAATTTGGGAAGCCATTGATAACTCGGAAGAGACCTTTGGTATTATTATTAGGGATTGCTTTTCTTCTTGTCAATTGATTTATATATTGGGGGTAGATTTATTAGTTTATCAATCATAATCGTGGTGATGCTTGATCTTGGATGCTTTAGTTTATTGATTAATATTTCCTCTAGTTAATTGTGTTATTTAATAAATTAGTTGATTATTATCATCCATTATTGATTGGTCACGTGCTTAGTGATTAATTGAGTCTGATTAATTGAATGAACCATAGTCTCTTGGGATTCGATCCTTACTTGCCCTACTACACAGTTAGAAGGAATAGTTAGGTTATTTTTGTTAGGTACGCGATAAGCCTATCACAGGGTCATCATCCATCTCAAATATTATAAGTTTAAGGTAATACTTGTGTCAAGTGTTAAGTCCAGGCAAAGAAATATAAAAGAAACAAACATCAAAGAGAATTCACTCTCAGAATACGGCAGACATTACCTTCTGCATTTCATTCCTTCCAAGTGCATCACCAATCATAATTGATGACCTGCAGGCACGTGATGCTAGCATTGCACGTACTCTCGAGGGGCAGATTGAGTCAGAGGTATCCATCTTATAAGTACTCATAATCGAGCATTCTCCATGACCATCCGAAAGAGTAGATATGAGCTCTTTTACATCTGTACTAGAATAGAAAGCACATTATGAACATCCAGAGTGACAAAAGCTGCACCGAAAGAAACTTAGAAACAGAGATAGACACATGTTAAGCATTATTCTAGAATGATAAAATCATCCATTCATTCTCCCAATATCTGAAGGCCAAGTAATTGACATTTTTTTAAAAACCCAGAAAATATTGCTTGAAAACTAAGAGTACTCTTTGATTATAGTACAGCTAGCAGAGGACAACATTTTCTTTCGGCCATGACTAGTTATACAGAACATGGCAACAAGAATAGCACTTATTATATCCAATGGATCAGATAAAAGCTTTAGTGACATAATACTCAAAACTTTACTAAAAACTCTCTATGGTGCCAAGGTAGAGCAGAGGAAAAAGTTGTGCTAATAACACTTGGAAAAAGAATTTTGGACTTTCCAGAAACATAAAAGAAATCCAAGCACCAGGCAATATGGTGCTTACCTAAGTCCATAATTATGTGCCTACTCATCAGTTTAAACACTCATGAGGTATGATTAATAGAGATTTTTTTCTTAGGGTGCAAGCCTTGTAGGATTTTAGTTGTGTAGCTTTCAGATGATGTTCTCATCAATCCATCATCTACATAGATAAACACATGTCAGCTTTTTTTTAACATGAAATTTCACACTTATTGAGACCCGCGAGAGAGGGGGGGGAATGAAAGAATGCACGGTTGTCTGGTGGCCAAAGAAGTACATTAAAAATACAGGGTTCTTGAAGACTTAAAGCAAAAAAAAGGCTGCTCTTGGCCTAGAGATGCTATTCTCACAAAGCTATGTTCTGTTAGCATTCGATAGAAAGAAATTAACTCAAGTTGTACTGAGACAAGTAGCAGATGAAGAGGATACTGAACCAACACAGACTGCCACTGATGATTTTAATAGCTAAAGACCATGTTCTGCAGCGGCAAAGGTGGGTACAGGTAAATGACTACTTAGGATGAAAAGAGCATATAACCAAGTATTGCAAGAGTATTTCGAGGTTCAATGGAAGAGTTCAGGATGTTGAACGACAACGTTGATGATAATGCTATAGATAATCCTAGTCAGAAAAGACTTAGGTAGTTAGGTGGTCAGATAGTGAGTACTCATGTACTGATGATCAGATTTCTTCTGAGAAGGTTGCAGAACAATGGATGTGACAATTTATACTAAAAATGCGACATTGCAGTATGAATACATTACCTTCAACTCCAAATGTTATATTTTTACTGAAGGGCACAGACTTTAATTTAAAGCGGTTGCCTGAGGATGAATCTAGATCCTCTTCCAAGATAAAACCATTTTTCCTACAGTCATCACAATTAAAATGTGAGCAATTGGTCTTGTATGGACCCGGTCTACAATAAATTATTGTAGACCCAAAATTTGACACTTTCAAATAATATAATCACATTCTGGATGATATAATCACTTTTTTAGACGATATAATTATCTTTTTGTGACTCATATTTTGAATTATATAATCTCATATTAAACCATTTAATGAGATTATATAATTATCTTTAGGATGATAAAATTTAAAAATCATCTTTTGAATGATGTAATTTACTATTTGATACTTTTTATAACGATAAATTTACTTTTTGAGTGATACATTTACATAACAATTTCAGGATGATATAATCACTTTTGTAGTAATATAATCACATTCGTATGGTATACTAAAAGGTTGGGTCTACAATAAGTTATTGTAGACCGGGTCTATTCTAGTCTTTACCAAATGCGAGATGAAGCGACAAATATGTTCTGCTAAAGAATCACATAAAGCGGGTCCTAAGCACACAAACAAACCTCAAAACTGTAAAAAAAAAAATTAAAAAAAAAAAAAAAAAAAAAAAAAAAAAAAAAAAAAAAAATTGGACATTGGATAGTAATCCCAAATTCTAAGGTACATAAAGAAGATAATAAAAATAAGTGCACTTAATAGTTAAATACAAATGCAGCTATGCCAGATTGCCTGGCTTGTTTAATCCTTAATGTCCAACCCTATAAATAGAATTTTTAGAGACCAATCACTTGAGCATAAATTGCTTCCCTGAACAGAGTTAAGTCTCTGATGAAACTATCAATTATCCCATAGGTTTCAAATGCCTTAACATATATTTTACTTAGGTCTCACTTCACCAGCCTAAACTTTAAGAGCAGCAAGTTTAATGGCCCACCACTCACCATTCTCTTACACATCAGTGTAATGAACCCAAATCTCCAGTTTCTTTCCATGGAATATCTAAAAATCCTTCCAAAGGGAGTAAAAGTTTAATACATTAAGTGATACTCTATGCTCTAGCTAACTGATCAACTGAGACAAAAGAGAGTTTCCAAGTAGTGTTTTTTTTTAAACTGATGATGTTATTGTCATAACAGAATGGTCATAGGTCCAGTTAATTTTGGACTCCTTTTCTAAGAGCTAGGGTAGATTTAATAGCCACAAGGCCCAACTCCATCAACCCTGAATTTAATAGGGGCATAAATATAATTTGTGGTCGGATTACAATTCATCACAAAGAAGATAAAAAAATAAGGAAAATCCCTAAAATAGTGTACATTGCACCATTGCACAGTTTAAGTTGGACCATTAAGTCTATAATGGGCAAAAATCTATCCAGAATTCCAGATTGGGTTGGATCGTTGGACACAACTTAGCCAAAGATTACACTTACTAACTCAACCATCCCCACCCCCAACAACTCCCATAAAATACTTAGAAATCCCCAAAAATAGTATACACCATAGCCAAGAGGGATATGGATCAACCCTTAAGCAATAGAAGGGTTGACTGCCTAGTGCCTATATTATTGATTTGAAAGGAAAGGGTGATATATTAAAATTGAGTTGAAAAAAAATACATGGCACTTGGATCAAATGGAATGTACAAAAAAAAAAAAAAACAAAAAACAAACAGCCAGTGAGATGAGGATGCAGAGGCAAGGTATAGATATCTAGGTTACCTAATTATATCCATATGCATTGAGGTAACTATTTCCTCTTCTGGGGACAATTCCAACCTGACTGACCTGCATGAACAAAGAGATAATATGTACATTGAAATTTTAAGGGAAACGCAAGTATAGCCACTATCATTTAAGCTTCAATCATATACATCTACATATGCACAATTATCTCCCTAAAATGCCAACAAGCACAAAAAGGAAAGAAAAGAAAGGTGAAAGAACATGTCCGAGATAAGACAAATGACAATAGGAATAAAAAGGGGGGAAGAGGTTTCATGGAGCCTGCATTAAAGGATAGAGTTCATAGGCTTCTGCAAGCGAGATATTTTGACCTTCTAAGAATATGTCACACACTGCTCAAATGGTGAAACTATCTACGTCTTCTGCTAATATCCACAAAGTATTAATGAGAAATATGCACTTTATTGGCTGCTGGAGTCGATAAAGGGAATCAAATTTACACTTTTGGCTTATGGCCAATCTCAATGTCAAAATTGCTCATACAATAGCCAACGATAAGAGATAGACAAGTGACTTGTAATTTTCTACAATCAAAACAGACGACATCACAAGGCACGGTCAACGAGTTGAAATTTGCTGTGCAAGCTGAAATCCACAATAGTTGAATTCCTATTCATCACAAAGACGATGAGGCTACAGTAATCTTTTCTAGCGAAAATTCTAAAAGACAGCCACTGTAAACTATCAAGGTAGAAAATCTGAAAGATGAGTGTGAAAACGGTAACAAGAAAACTTCATTCTTGGTTAGAAAACTGATAATTACTTTGATTCAGTTGCTGTTAGTCTGATGCGTAACACATTTATCAAGCATTAATATAGCGTCCAACAGCCAAACAATGAAAGATTCTTTATTGAAAAGAAGTCGACAGATTTGAAGGCCAAGCAAGAGTCAGGTTGGCAGTCCAGTCCAAATTTTAGCAAGAGTAGACTGGACTAATAGATATACACACAATAAATAGCAATTGATGCATGTGTGGTAGCTATTTAAATTAGACTGTTGGAGGTCAAAGAATGATGACATGTTGTATACACGATCTAGAACTCATCTTGTCACTTATCATGATCAATCCTTTAATCTGTAAATGACAATAAAGTGGAGATGTAATAAACCAACACTATTCATGCTAGAAAGGGGTTCAAACTAGTTCTCAGGAGGAAACAATTAGTTCCTTTGAAGCCCATCAAGGATTTGATATTATACTGCTATTGCAACTGTGACTGCAGATGGGAGGCTCAAGAACTACTCTACTAAGTAAATAAAGCAGAATCTTTGACTTAGATAAAATGGGTGAAAAGAAATAAAAAGAGAAAAGGATACTGAAACTCTTGAAACAAGATACAGTTGGCAAAAGCTTGATGCTTGCTTCTAATGGATTTTAGAAATCAACTAAATAGGTCCTTCGTAACCATCTCCCCCGAGGGGTTAGGGGGGCAACATTCCTTTCCTGCCTCCTAGCTTTCACAATTCAAAAAGCATAGCAGCTAATTTTAAACAAATGCACGTAAAATATGGGAATTATTCTCAAGATACCCCAATTTATCAGTCTCACTATCCAAGGACCATTACAAACGGCAGAAAAGATTACCGCAATAAAGGCTGCTGGTTCATGACTGTTGATTCTGAGAGGCGCTCAAAATTATACTTCTCATCAGCTGCATGCTGGGGATTGAATGTATACATCATTAATTCAGAAGCATGTAAAAACAAGAAGAAAAAATATACAAATCTTATCTTGCAGCAAATTAGAAATAATAATACAGATTGAAATAACAAAAAACTTTGGGTCTGTGGTTATTCTAATGACAGAGTAAAAGAAAAGAGATATAAAGTCCGCTGGCCAAAATTACCTGATCCACAATAAACAAGTCTTCATCTAGCTTTCCGATAATAAAACCCAAATTGAATTGTCCAATCACCTAAAATTGAATCTGAAAGGGTTATATAATACCAAGAAAATCAACCATGATTAAACAAAATGCAATGAACTGCCTGCAATATGCATCATACTCGATACTTAAAAAAAAAATTAAAAAAATAATAATAAAAAAAAAAAAAAAACACTAGTTAGTTCCAGCCTGCTACAGTATTAGAAATACCAATTGAAGTTTGGTGTGTAAACTGTAAAGCAGGGGTAAGACGTAACATAGCATAGCCTTGTTCAAACAAGCAGTTCTATATTAGTTGAAACAAAGTCAATGGGGTAGCTTTCACATAGAAAGACAACAACGGGTAAGCTTGCTCAAAAAGATGAAGCAGATTAAAGGTTGCAACACCAGAGAATGCCATTGTACTCTCCATTTCATGTCCAGTAGACGGAGTTGGTGTATCAGTAGTTTAAGCTGTGTTTAGAAATACATGACCTCACCAGTCACCAGAACTTAGAGTTGGGTCAACCAAGTGGCTCAATGTCACCTACGTGTTTTTTTTTTAAAAAAAAAAAAATATCAGTTTCAAGGCAGGTCAATACCATTTCTCTAATAAATATGACAGTGTTATTGGCAGCAAACAAAACAATACAAAGGGAAGAAATTGAAGTGGGTAGGCAATGGAGAGAGTTTTAGTCATCTTTAAACAATCCCTGCTGTAATTATTGTATTTATAAGCCAGAAAAATTGTATTATTAATATTTGGTTTTGAGTCCTGCATATTAACCCATTTTAAACCCTAACGATTCATCATTTATAGGATTCAGATATTTGGGTTTTATATTCAAAATTTTCATCAAACCCCAAAGCTTCCAGGTCACATAACATAAATAACATAGAGAACACTATAAACTTATTTTTCTCTTGAGACGAAGCCAAACATGACTTCAAAGTCGCATGCTTGCCGACGGGACTTCATGCTAACAATGGACAAGAATTAAAAAGCAGTTGGCCCTCAACCCAGAGGTCAAAGAAATAGCTTCCCTATATCCCATCAAACAGCATAGGCAGGTTGCTAGCAAACTTTAAAGGCTGACACTTTTAACTCCACTGACAAGGCTATCAATTTTTCTACCTTCATCCTGCCGAAGTCTTTTTTCCTAAAAAGCCTTTCTAGTTCAGTGGTTGCAGCAGCAAGAGCCCTAGCTTTCCACTCTTCATTATCCGCTTGCGAAAGCTCTAGCGTCGCAGCAGCATAGCACCTATATATCATCAATTACTTTATGAAAGACAAAATAAGGAAAAAAACTTAATTTCCCAAATTTGATACTTCACAAACCTTTTGGATGTTGTCCTAGTAAAAGCATCAAAGCTTGAATGAGATATTGATAGTTTCTGCTTCCTCCTTTTCATGAGATCCTTCATATTGAATTGCAAAGTAGAAGAGGCTTTTGGAGCAGATGAAGGAGGAGCGGTACCTAGTAACGACTGGGATCCAAGTGGTGCCTCTTCTAGTTCAATTTCTGAGATTCCACTCCTTGATTCACTTAGTATGATCACATCTGTAGCAGGCACTCCTTTTTCCTGAAGCCGATTGTCCTGAAATTTAAGTGAGGCTTTAAGGTACAAATGACCAAATAAATAAACAAGTTAGCAATCCAAAAGATCAAATAAACAAGTTAGCATGATCTGCATTAAATCTCAGTAACATACCAAGTCTCAGTACAAGAAACATTTCTGCAACACTTGTGCAGTCATTGAGACAGGGAAACTCTTGGTACATCCTCTAATGCTGAACACTGATCTGATACCATATTGCATTCAGAACACTATATTTAGGCAGAGCAATTTGACTCAGTGATACCATGATTTATCTAGGCAATGAACTCCTAAGAATATCTAGTGAATATAATTGCCTAAGTTCATTATGCAGAGATATAATCGTCCTCCCTTTTTTAGAGCATCTCCTCTGCTACAGTTTAGAGGGGAATCTAAATCCTTTGAAGGCAATAAATCAATTTTAAATTAATCAGGTGAAGGAATAATATTGGACAATAGGTCCAAGGTAGTTGCCAAGTAGTCAAATGATAATTACTTCAATTTTCAATAGTATGTAGCATCTTTGGACCTTTCAACCATGTGACATATATACATTTGGTAAACAGAAAAGAAGCAACTTTTGGTTCTAAAAAAAAGAAGGAAAAAAAATCCATATGAGCATATGCCTATCAAATATTATAGTGTACAACCCCACCAATCCCCCTTACATTATTAGCTTCATCACCTACTGCAAATTCCTTTCTCCTTCCCGAGCCACCTTAAATGGCAACTTCACTTACTTTACTAAGCTTATCCACAAGATATAGACGATTAAGATATAGTCATGATAATGTCAATTAACATGTCGTTAGTGTCTATCTGCCACTTTACCAAACATTTAAGCATTTTTTACAAAAATTTAGGTTAGGCTTTATTGCCTTGATATGATCTTCCAAACTAAAATTCTAAAAAAAGACAACAAGATCTTTTGAGTGCAGCATGAGTACCACAATTACAAACCAAAGTCTCTCACAATTTAGTGAGCTAAACAGCATGGTTATAGGGGTAATTAAGTTTACTAGTACTCATTGTAAAGTTCAATTTTCTTCAGATTTTAGCGAAGCGAACATTGCAACCCACTACACAAAGAAGTGTTTTGCACATTATTAACGTCAACAATACTGATTCTTCATATTCTCCTTTTTTAAAAAATATAAGTTAGCATTCAACAATAGATCTCATTATTCAGATCATTTCATGAGTCCCAAAAAATAAAAAGGGAAATTAGTTCATCATAAAGTAACGGACACACACAGTAGGAGAGACTTGCACCCAATTTTTTTAGAGTGCCACTTAGGTCATGGTCAACAAGTGATTAGATTACTGGTGCTATATTTATTAAGACATAGTCAAAAGAATAATGGTGTGTTTGGTTCAGGAATTCCAAGAAAGGGAAAGGTAATCAACTTCCTTGATTCCCTTTTATGATGTTTGTTTGTCTAATTTAATATTTCCCTTTTACCCTTGTGATTACCCAACCTTCTTCTACTCCCTACACCCCCCTCCCCTCTAAAGAGAATCACCCTAAGCCCCAAACTCCTCAACAACCAATTACCTTTTGACCCTTGACCGCCACAATAATCAAACCTTATAACACCGCACCACCACCAAAGCGAAATAACCCTCTCGTCCACTCCACCAAAAAACCCACCACTCACCCAAGGTCACCACCATCCCACCGACAACCCTACCATTGAAGCCAATATGGAGTGCACCAATAACTCCAAAGTCTCCAATCTCATGTTTAAATTCTGATATAATCCTACTATTGATGCAGCTACGCTTTCTCTGGGTGCAACTAAAGCTTTAAAATAGTAAATGTCTAGTCTTCCAAACTTCTGAAACAAACTATCAACCGAGGAGCAATCTGATTAGCATCCAGAACAAAAGGTGTCATTACAAATAGGAGTATTTTTCTTTTTGTGTGTGTGAATGTTGAATTGTTCACAAAAAGGTTCATCAAGAGTATACAGACTAGCATACCTCTATTATCCCTTCCATGCAAGCATCACCATCATTCAGAAGAGGACTGCTTGTTTGATACAAATCTGTTGCAGTTTTAGAATGCTTGGATGTTTGATTCCCATGAAGCCCAGCAGAATCGTGAACCTTTGTGGATGAGCTTACAGCAGCAAATTGCAATTCCAAATCATTGTTTTCAGACTTACGTTGAAGCGGTTCATTTCTTAAGATAGGGGCTTCAGATAAGGGTGTAGATAAGTTTTCATACTTCCGCTTTTGCAGAGTAACAAACTTGGTAAGTGAGGATTCAATAGAGGCTGGCCTATTAGCCAAATTATTGTTGATTGCAACATCACTTTCAGCTTCTTTATGGCATTCTTGATCAATATCAACACTTATATTATTATTTTCATGGCTTGGTGAATAGCTACAAGTCTTTTTAATTCTGTGGACCTTGAGACCAAAATCCCTGTCCTGTGACTTTTGAGCATCATTGCGGAGACCAAAAGATGAAAGATTGTTGCCCTTCCCAATAGAACCTGATATCATTTTTTCTTTATTAGCTTGCTTCTCCTCACATACTTCTTCAGCTTGAGCTCTTTTTGATGACTTGCACTGCTCAGAGGGCAGCTGCAATCCCACAGGGCGCGGAGATAAGTGATCATCTTTTTCATCAGGTGCATCTATATTCCTAACATTATAAGTGACAGAACTGGCTGAGTAGATCATCCCCAGAGCTTCTCTCAGAAATTGTAGAATAGAACCTTCATCAGAGAAAAAAATCTTCCTCTTATCTGGTGTCACATTTACATCATATGCCATAATCGGAACAATGAAGTTTAGAACCACAATGGGATATTGTCGTGAGTTAGCACCTCTATATAACTCATTCACAAGTTTACCTACTTTTGGCATATCAACAGGCCGGCCATTAACATAAAAGAATTGCCTGTCACCCATATTTCGTCCGCTGCCATAACCTGATTTAGAGACAAAGCCCTCAACTGTGCAGTTACCTGGCAAAGAGATACTCAGTGGCTCTAAACAAGTAAATGTGCTCATGCCAAACAGTGTTATGATGTTATCTTTGAGCGATCCACTTCCTTGGGTTTTCAGGACCACAGATCTTGCACTTTTCCCAGACATATTGGTGCAAACAAATCGAACTCCTTTTGCAATAATGGCATAGGCCTGAAGAAACAAGGTTAAGAAACGTAAAGTCAAGATCAGTCAGATCATTCAGGATTTTCATGTTGTAGATGCAGTTGAATTATATTAAAAATAGTTTCAATTTCCAGAGACTCCAAGATCATACTACAAAAGGCCAATAAAAGACAGAAGCTATTAATAAATTTTCCAAGCAAATGATTGGGGGAGGAGGTGAATCTTCATATTTCAATTTGCATGAAAGCTTTAAAATATCACCTATTATCTATTTCAACAACAATTAAAAGCAATATAAACAACATCTTTTACTCACATTCAATAAAGATACAAGTTTTCCATATTCCTTACGGATATTACGACTGAATTCCTTGCTACGCACAGGCAAATTAGAAAACAGCTTCTTTACAGTTACTGTAGTACCAACTTTCCGTGCTGTCTTATGTTCAGCTACTAATTGGCCAGTGTTATCAAATGTCAGGTGTGCAGCAACAGACTCATTTTTTGTTCTAGTTTCCACTGTCAATCTCCCCAGCGCACAAAGGGAACTCAGTGCCTCACCTCTGAAGCCAAATGTTGTAAGAGACTGAAGGTCAGGAAAATCAGCCAGTTTTGAAGTATGATGCTTAAGAGCAAGAACCTACACCAAAACCATAACATTAAATAAAAAATTTCATCATCTGCATTAAAATTAAGGCCAGATTATCACCCAAGCACTAATCAACTTAATGGATAGAATGAAAACTTAACAAACAAATTTCCTTGCAATTTTACCAACATATTTTTATGCATAGTAAAGCATTCTTAAGTTAAGTAAAGTGAATGTCAGAAGCCATGCCCTCAGCTCAGCATTGGAAGAAAATTGATAAATCCTAGTAGTAATTAGTAAGCCATCACATAATAAGCTGTAGAATGACTCTCACAAAGCTCTTGCCAACATCATCATCATCATCATCATCAATAATAATAATAATAATAATAATAATAATAATAATAATAATAATAATAATAATAATAATAATAATAATAATAATAATTATTATTATTATTATAATAATAATAATAATAATAATTATTATTATAATAATAATAATAATAATAATAGTAGTAGCTTTGTCGTAGTAAATAGTATGTCTACAAAAGTTGTTTCCTATGAACCCTTAAAAAGCTAGAATTCCACTTCAAATTTTCCATGATTAGAAAATGAATTTAGTCCATTGTAGTTCTAAGACGGGACAATACCAATAGTGTAATGAACCGGGTTAGCCCAACACCACAGCCACCTATTCGGATCTATGCTAGAAGGAGAAAGAAGCCAATTGAAGTGAGGAAACAACATGACAATTAGCAACAGCCAATAGGAGGGCAGAACATTTCAGCAGAAGAAGACAAAGCTAATCAATAGAGCACTAAGGGGAGATTGTAGCAGTAGCAGAACAGGACAAATGCAATTACGATTAGGGTATCTTTGTATGGGGAGAGGGCTTGGTATAAAAACATAGCAATGGAACAGTAGGATGTTATGTGAACTTTGACTCATGATTTGTGAGAGAATTGTAGCCTAAAGCTGCTAGTGAGACTGATAGCCTCAAGTTATCACTTTTGTATCCTTCTTTATTTTTCAATCAAATATCCAAGCTCTTGCCTTTAGGTTAAATAGTTCAATAATCTTGTCTGGGATAAATTCAGTCCATTACAAATAGAAACTCTTTTTCGTTTGTAGAAAAAAGACAAGAAAAATTTTCACCAAATAAATCTTATCTGACCAGATATATCAAAATTAGCAATAGGGTTCTTCATATGTATGTGTCACTCCATGGCATTCTTCTAGCGTAATGAGCTCGTTCTTTGGATTAGATTCCCCATTGCACTAATGCTCCATAATGATGGAAGCTGTGCGGGATACATACTAGACACTTTGGCAAGCCCAATCAGAAGAGAGGCATGTAGGTTTTGATAAAAATAAAAATCTACCTCCCAATAAGCTTACTACTATATAACCTTTTCCATGGCAGATGTCCAGAACCTTTGCCTCAAAGAGCTCCCAAAAATCAAGATATATCCTTGGAAAATACATCATATGGCAGAGTTTTCTGCTCAGGAATGTAATTTACCAAGTAGTACTGACATAATTAATGGCATCAGCAGAATGAGAAGTTCACAAGGTTTCTTTGCTTGATTACAGATATGAAGACCATTGCTCCCTTCTCCCCCTCTACCCCTCCGATGCAAATGTATCTCATTACTAAGCCATGATATCAATAAATAGATATTCAAAAAAATTATCAACAAAGCATGCAAGAGAAACAAAGATCCTTTATTGCAAAAGAATAATAGCTCCATGCTTCCACCACCATTATTTGCACATTGCATATGAAAACCCTTACTTCCTCTACATTAATATATCCTTCATGTTGCATTGTAGCATTTAGACATTCCCTACACTACAACCGATATTGATATTGTTGTAACACAGAACCCTAAAAAACAATGGTGCTACAATAAAGTGAAAGACAAGGAGAGTCATAACTTGAGATCCTCTTCACACAATATAATTTATTCACTATCTTCACCTAAATCAACAATAATATTTCCCAATCCAAAGCCACTAAGAGTATTTATGCAAGAAATTGCTCCACGACCTTTTTTCATTTTTTAAGTATAAAGATTATAAAAAGCGGTATCATCCCCATAAAATGCATGCCATGTGCATCAATTCATTTGAAGAATTGACCTGTTCACATGCTTTTCACAAGTTACTCGGTTATTCTTGCCTATATATTAACATATTTTCATAGTCTCTTCGAATAGTTATGGTTTGCTAGTTGATACTCAACGGTTCAATCTGACTGTTATTCGTGAAGAGGGGGAAGGGAGGGGGGAAAACATTTTTTCCACCCTTGGGTACATAAAACTTCTGAGTTTACGACGTTGGCTATTGCTTGATCAACTTTCCTCGGATTAAGCTGATAAGTCATTTCTGAAACATATAGTTTATCCATAAATATCATTCATAGATTATGTATCTTTTCTATTTTATATACCCACTTTCCATCTTGAAGTGTTTTTTATGCACTCACTTCTACTATATTCTATTTTTAGCAAACATATCTTACCATCTTACCCCCTTCAATACACAATTTTATACCTTTTCACTATCTCTTACTTTCTACTTTATCTTCTTACTGTTTCCATCTTTTTCTTATAGCAACTCTCGTCTTTACTTTCTCTCTTACTTAACTCTTCTATAAACAAGAACCAAATAGTACATGGTTCATAAAGGAAAAAAGGAGGGGAGTGAATTTTAACTTGAGAATATAGTATGACAATCCAAAGTAGCCAAACATGTGGTACATGGAAAAAAGGTTGTCCTTCTATAAATTTCAAAAGTAGCACATCTTGATCAAACTTCATTAATTTTCACAAAGCTCTTACTAGATATAAAACAACTAAAAATATGCATCAATTACACAGCGAAAAATGACAACTATGACATATTTGACCAAGCTGAAACTAAAGATCTAAGTATAGTTTTTCACCTATCCATCCTACATCCAAGAGGAGGAGAGATGGGAAAATCGTAGGGTTGTAGGATCAATAATTGTAGCTCAATAAAAATATGAGACATTAAAAGAAAAAACCTACAAGCAACAAAAGGCTTGTATACATTATGATTGCACAATAAAATAAACAAAATCTTTTACATCCCAAAGTGAGATAGCAATACACGCTAAGAGTTAATATTGCCAATTGGAATCAACGGGACAAAACCTCCAAAATCTCTACGTGTATATAGCATTCACCATCCAAAAAAATGACTTAGGTGAGTTTGTTTAATGTTGATGAAGTGATAATTTTTATCCAAATTTGACTTAATTCCCATGTTTGTTAGTTGGGATAGGAAATGGAGGCGGGTTTGGGAGTGGGAAATAATGGCCTTGACTATCATATTATTATTGCCTAAGGGAAGTGAATCATCTGCTTCCCTTAACTACCCAAACCATTTAAATGGGCAAGAACACAACAAATTCCCAACACAAATTTGCATGCTCAATCCCACACTCCAATCCTCATATTCTCAATTTCTCATTTCCACATACCAAATGCCCCCTACATAACGAATGAACGATTACGTGAACTATAAAACCTGAGTGAAATACCATTACCATAATTACAAAAACAACAATTAATACCACAACCCATTTAGCAAAAATCCAAGTAAATATACAAAGAAGAAAAAAAATAACCATAAAGTGTTAATTACATAAACAAAAAATTCAATACTTCAACAATTAGCTAGAATTCTTACATAAATTAAAGAAATTAAAAGGCAAACCTTAAAATTGTTGGGGGAAATGCCGCAACCATTATCAATAACTTGAAACCACTCTTCGCCGTAATCCTTAAGCGCGATCTCGATGCTCGTTGCGCCGGCATCCAAGCTGTTCTCAACAAGTTCTTTAGTGGCAGAGGAAAGGTCCAAAATCACTTGTCCCGCGCAAATTTTATGCACCACGCTCTTATTAATTGGCTTGATCATCGGCGAATTCGCCATTACTGGAGCTTCTCCTGCAATTTCCGCCATTGAAACATTCACCGAAGATTGGAGAGAGAGAGAGAGAAGGAGGAATTTGGGGAGGAAATGAGACAGTGGAAGTGTGAAAGTGACGGAACCCTAACTAAGTACGAAGTAAGGAGTGTATGAACTATGAAGAGCAATTAGAACGTTTTGCCGCCAAATATATTAAGTAAAATGATTTCCCTCTATAATTCCATTTGTGGATTAGTTTCAGGCGACAAAGAATATGTTTATCATTTAGGGTTGGTTCTGTTCACCTTATTTTCACTTGATTCAATTGCAATAATTTCATATAAGTTCAATTCAGGAAAAGTAAATTCTGATAAGGGTTAACTAAGTACAATTTCCAATTAAAATAAGTTTTAATCAAATATAATAAGTTCATATAGATAAAAATCAAGTGAATAGAACACTCCCTTAGTATTTGGTAAATCAGGGGATAAATAAAACATTTCACTTATTTATTTGGGGCCAAGTTTGTACTTTCTTCCTTTCTTCTTCCTCCTCCATTACACCTCACTGCACTTTCTTCCTCCTCCATCAGTCCATCACAGTAATGCCATCACCACCTAAATTGGTTAAAATTGCTTCCACGAAGAAGATGCTACCCCAAGGGATTGACATGGTCCTAATTGACACCATTTTGCTACTAGGGTGTCTTTTTGTTATAGTCGCAAAGTGGCATTGGAGTGGTTGTCGAAGAAGGAGGAAGAAGGGAAGAAGAAGAGGGACGCAAAGAGGGCCTTTCAGAGAGGAACAAGGGGGTGTGATGGTAATGGCAGCTGATACGAACAAGAGAAGACGGAGATGATTGCGGTGGTTCGTGGTTGACAAGCAAAATGAAGGGGGGGATAACGATGGTAGTGTGGTGGCTTTATGCGTGATAATCGATGATTGGCGAGATGACAAGGGGTAGACGAAGATGGTGGTGGTTCGTCGTCGTCACTATAAATCGTGATGCTAGATCTAAGTTTAAAAAAAAAACAGTGAATTATATAGCAAAGTTGTCCCAAAAAAAGAGGTTAATTTATAATATTTCGTCAATCAGCTTGATTGACTAGGGCGACCTCAGAATGAGGAAGGCCTCATCAGGAATTACTCACCGAATATCAACTTTTGTCAATAATTACCGTTGATAAAAATTTTGATTTTAATAACCAACTTTTTAATTTTTCTTTTACAGCCACCCCCACCTCTCAGCCAGTCACCGTAACCCACCTTCCTAGCCTGTGGATTTTTCGCAACGTAATTTCCTACTACTCGCATACCCTTATACTTGCCATGTAACATTGATTGGCAATGAGGTCTACGTTGACCCACAAAACACCACCACTTACCTTGTACCTGCCACGTAAGTGTAACACCCTAGAAATTCCTTTATTTTAAAATACTTGTTTGGCCCTGTTTAAAACTTTAAATAGGAATATCTAAGACATTGCCGCTACCGTGAAAACGGTTAAGGCAATTAACAAAGACATACAGCGGAAGACTAATTTCAAAACCATTCAAAACAAGTCAACTTAAACAGTCAACCAACGAAAGTAAAGTCAAACTAAAGTCAAACGAAGTAAAATAAAATCAACCTACAACTTGGAACCATTATAGGCCCTTATTAAAAACCAAACCAACTTCAAAACTTTTGCGTTAGTCATTCATAATAATAATATCATAAATAATTAAAGCATTAAACACATCATATACTTATAGAAACTAGGATGATTCGCTCTTCAGTCTTTACTCATGCACATTCATGATTATGCTTCATCACCTGAAAAGCTTCTCTCTACTTGTTTCCACTACTCTCCATTAAAAACGGGTCATCATAGGGCCAAGATAAAGACAAGACCAACAAACACACAAAGCACACAATCAACAAAGCTGAGTATATAAGCGTAATAAACACACTAACATGTAATTACCTATCAACACACAACTTGCCTTGTTGCACCTGTTTATTTCAAGCATACAACATTCAACAAAACTTCTCACTAGACAACTACATAATTTATTTAGCATTGATTACGCATCGAACGGGTTTCCCCACTAACCTCTCCCAATAAATTAAGGTTACTGACACGGGAGCTAACCGTGTCAGCATCAATAACCACTCGTAAGTGGCGGAATTCCTGCACATAATATAATAATAAAAGGAATGTATAGCGTCCTATACTCCAATAGAAGTTATGATCAAATATAAAGTCACATAACTCCCCCTATATGTTCATACTCAAGGTATATACGTTCCAAGAGTTTTGGTGCGTAATCTCTTTCGCTTTACGTTATTTACAAATTATTAGACTTGGTGATGACTCTCAAACCATAATCATTCAATCAACAATAATTATTCAAACAATCAAACATACCAATTTAATTCTTGAATAATTATGACCACATAATATTTAATGTTAAACCCTTTTCAATTCTACCTCGGTGCCAATGACACCTTAAACGCATAAAGCGCCACAAATCCTATCCCTCGGTGTTAAAAACACCTTAAGTGCACTAAGGCACCAACATATAATTTATTTCTCATGTACTTAGACACTTACATAGCTCCTTTCCCATGCTTAAAGCATCAATAAAAATTACGTCTATTTCACCAAATGCCACTGAGTACTTAAAAAACTCACCAAATGCCATCAAGGTTTTCAAAATTCACCAAATGCCATCGAGCTTTTAAGAAATTCACCAAATGCCATTAATGACTAACGGACGTTAACTCCGTTAGTCATTAAGATTAAATCTTGACACGTATCATAATATGATTGGTTCATTTAATTATTTATTTGAATTAATAAAAATAATATTTTTTTTCTTCATTTTCGTGGCAAAAATTGCTCGGGTATAGTTTTGTGGGTCATATTGATTCTTTATAGACACAAATTAAGCTCGAAATTGACAAAAAATAACGTAAATGGCCCATTTTGTGTGTTGAAAAATATTTCGATTAGCGTGTCGTTATATTTTAACCATAAAAAAAATGATTGGGTAAGGTTTTGGGGGGTCATTTTGATCCTTTATGAGAACAAATTAAGTTCAGAATTGACATAAAAAACGTAAATGCTCCGTTTTGTGTGTTGAAAAATATTTCGATTAGCATGTCGTTATTTTTTAACCATCAAAATTGATCGGGTAAGGTTTTGGGAGTCATTTTGAACCTTTAAGGAAATTAATTAAGCTCGAAATTGACTAAAAAATAACATATATACCCCGTTTTGTATGTCGATATCGTAATTTTTTTTTCGGAAAAAAAAAAAAAAGCAAAACGGGGTATTTACGGTTTTTTTTTTCCAATTTCGAGTTTAATTTGTACCCATAAAGGGTCAAAATGCCCCCAAAACCTTACCCAAACAATATTCGTCACGAAAATTGAAAAATATATTATTTTTATTCATTAAAATAAATTATTATTGTGTATTAATTTTAAAAAGTAATGGCATTTGATGAAATAATTTTCCAAAGTAATGACATTTGGTGAAATAAGAATTACATTAACGGAAAACTAATGTTCATATGCTATTAGTGGCACGAGGTGTCATTGTATTGTTTGTCAGTGGCATTTGGTGAATTTGAAAACTTTGATGGCATTTGGTGACTTTTGTAAATACTCAGTGGCATTTGGTGAAATAGCCGTAAAAATTATATGAACCATAATAAAATTTCCTTTTATTAATATTCCAAACCAAATTAAACATTTAGTTTAATTAAACATGCTCTCTAATATGCCATAAATAAAAGTGTGGTTCATAAACAATATTCCAAACTATAATTTTCCATCCATTAATCCATCACACATAAATCATGCTTCATAATTCAATCACCAATAACATCCAAATCACAATTTCCATTCCAAATCTAGCATAATACTACTTGTAATCAATTAAACACATTTAGCATGCTACTACATCAATAAAATTATGCTAAGTACGTGAACGTACCTTGTATATACGATCTTAAAATCGCCACGACTAATACAAATCACTCACTTCGAAGTCTCCTACAATTTAAAATCATAGAAGAGTATTAAAATCCTCTCTACACAAATTTCCAGCAATATATACTACTATAAAACCCCTCATAATTTAATTAAAATAAGCTGAAATTATATTTAAAACATCATACTTTAATCCCAATAATGGGTAATTGAAATTCCTTAATGGTTTGTTTGGAAACCAGAATTTGAAATTCTGGATTTATCCCAATCAGCTTGTTTGGAAACATTTTGTTAGATTTCGGGAAAACTCCTTAGATTGGAGTGTGTACCATTGAATAATATATATAGAGTTACAATACTAGTCCTAATCCTGTTAGGAAACCTAGTACGATAAGAATACAAACTATATCACAAATATATACGAATATATCCTACTCTGCGACAAATATTATAATAATCCTATAATATCTATCACACCCCCGCAGTCGTAGCGGGAGGAGGACGTACGCTAAGACTGGACCTAAAATCCAGAAATAAATCCCCTGGTAGGCCTTTAGTGAAACATGCAGAACCCGAACTTCTCCCAAAGCAACCTTTTCTCGAACAAAATGAATATCCATCTCCACATGTTTGGTGCGTTGGTGTTGTACTGGGTAGCCAGAATGGTAGATTGCACTGACATTATCAAAATAAACAATAGTAGCTGGTCGTAGAGGACAATGTAACTCAAGTAAAAGATTACAAAGCCAACACGCCTCTGAGATAACATTTGCGACGCCTCGATATTCAGCTTCTGAACTCGACTAAGACAGAGTATGCTGACGCTTAGATGACCAAGACACGAGGTTGTCCCCAAGAAAACAACAATAGCCCGATGTGGAACGTCGGGTATCGGGACAACCTCCCCAGTCAGCATCAGTGTAGGTAATAAGTCGATGAGAAACAGTCAGATATAAATGTAAGTCGTGATCAATGGTACCCTGAACATAATGCAGAATGCGTTTCAATGCCTCATAGTGAGGTTCCCGGGGATCATGCATAAAAAGACACACCTGTTGTACCGCATAGGCAATATCTGGCCTAGTGAAGGTGAGATACTGAAGAGCACCTGCTAAATTGCGATACAATGTAGGATCCCGAAACGATCTTCCTGCATCTGCACTAAGTTTTGACTTAGTGTAAATTGGAGTAGCTGCAGGTTTACATGAGCCTATACTTGCACGCTCTAAAATCTCCTGTGCATACTTTTCCCGCGAAAGTAGCAAATAAGAAGGAGTGCGAGTCACTGCAATCCCTAAAAAATAACTCAGAGGACCCAAATCATTCATAGGAAACTCAGTTTGTAACTGAGATATTATCCCTGCACACAACCTGTCAGATGAGGTAGCTAATATAATATCATCAACATATAGAAGCAAATATGCCATATCATCACCCTGCCTGAAATTAAAGAGAGAGGTGTCACTCTTAGCGAGGACAAAAACCAACTTAATGAGAAAATTTGCAAAGCGTTGGTACCAAGCTCTGGGAGCTTGCTTCAAACCATAGAGAGCCTTGCGAAGTTGACAGACATGAAAGGGAGCTCTCTGATCAAGAAAACCCGGAGGTTGATGCATATAAACAGTTCCTGTAAGTCACCATGTAAAAAGGCATTTTTGACATCTAATTGATGTATCGACCACTTTTTAGCCAGAGCTAAGCTGAGAACAGTAGGAATAGTGGTCGGTTTAACTACCGGACTGAAAGTCTCATCACAATCCACACCAATTTCCTGCGACCTGCCATCACATACAAGACGAGATTTGTGCCTTTCAAGGTCACAATTAGACTAGTATTTATGCTTAAAGATCCACATACAATGATACAATTAACAATATTCACCCCCGCAGACCTAGGTACCAATTCTCATGTCCTTGTTTTAATTAAAGCACTATATTCATCATTCATCGCTGCATTCCAATTATGGTCATGTAAAGCTTGTTTATAGGACTCTGGAAGAGGTGATTTATGAAGATGGGGACCCGAAGGTTGAACAGTGAGGTTACAATATTTCGGGTTGGGCTTAAAAATTCCTCGTTGACTACGGGTGTCTCAGGGAGAGGGAGGTGGTGGTCGAGTGGGTTGTATGGGCGTTACGCCATGCAAGGGTGGCGGGGTATAAGCTGGAGAAGGGGAAACTGGGCTGCTGGTCGCATGTGGGCTGGACAGTGGTGTTCGCGGGCTTGTCACGACAGGAGGTAGGCTTCCGCAGCTAAGCTGCGTTGTGGACTGGTGTGGCGAGGGATGTGTATTTGGCGCTAGGCTGACTGAGGTTGGGGTTAGGTCTTGGTTTTGAGTTGTGGTTTGTGAGCCACAGTTTGGAGATGGAGGAGAGGGTGGGTCGTGGTTTTGGGCTGGGGTTTGTGAGCCACGGTGATGAGGTCGAGAGGGATTCGGGCTTGCTTGTTGTGGGCTATGTAAATGAGGATGCAACAAATCAGAAGATGGAGAATCATCCACCAAAAAAATCATAGTCAGTGCTGCGCAATTGTGCTAAATTCCAAAAAGGGAAAATGGTTTCATCAAAATTGACATGGCGCGAGATGATGATTTTATTTGTGGTGAGATCAAGACACCTATACCCTCTATGGTCAATAGGATAACCCAAGAACACACATGGTGTTGACCGAGGAGCTAATTTATGTAGAGCTGTGGCAGACAAATTAGGAAAACAAAGACACCCAAAGACACGGATGTGATCATACGAAGGAGTTTTTCCAAAAAAGGCAAGAGCAGGATCAGAGTATTGTTTTTAAGAGTTTTGGTTGGCAAAATATTTAGAAGATAACTGGTCGTTTCAAGAGCATAAAACCAATACGAGGGGGGGGGGGAGAGATGCATGAAAAAGAATTGTATGCTTAATATTATTAAGTGTACAAATCATACGTTCAGCTTTGCCATTTTGGGAAGATGTGTGTGGACAAGAGAAGCGGAAAAGGATCCTGTAGACACCCATTTGTGTCTCCCCAAAACCAAACCCAGTGATGAGTACCTTTCGCGTCGAATCATAATCGAATGAAGTGAAAGTGTGGAAAGTCTAGTGTTGCGGATAGTTTTAATTTCTTTTCTCTTCTCTCTGTTTTTTAAAACTTATTTTTAAGAAAACAGCCAATCCAGTTTTGTTGGTACATGATATGGGTCCAATAATAGTGTAGTTGGATGGGGCTTGACGAGAGCTTTCCAACGACATATTATAAGCCCAATTCCGATGAATATTGAGGAAGTTATGACCAATTTACTAAGATGGGCCCGGTTTGAGCCTTATGTGCGGCCCAATGATCTAGGGGAGGGCCTAGTATGATTTATCATTCTAGGAATGGTTTTAGTCTTCTAGATTCTTCTAGAAGATTCTTTTCATTCCTAATTCAATTAGCATTGATAAATTGACTTTTGTTGACTTTTCAGAGTTTTAATTTAAATCAAAGAGCATTTTTGAGGAAAAGATACGATTTTATCCTCCTGTACGGCAAAATTTATCTGAATTTAGAAAACGCGTCAAAAACAGGACTAGCGCCTAACGTTAGACATTGGCGCCTGGCGCTAGGCCTGGCGCCTAGCGCTGGCATTGGCGCCTAGCGCTAGTGTTGGCGCCTGGCACCAACGAGCTGGTGCTGGTGCTGGCGCCAACTCTGTTTTTCGTGCGCCAATACTCTGTTTTGTTAATTTTATCTTTTTGGCTGATTTCTCTATAAATAACGTATTAAAAACTCCGTTTTCATTCATCAATAGCCAGTTTTCAATTATATTCACCCACAAACATTTTTCAATTCTCGCATTCTCTTTAATCATTCATCAAATTTTCCTTTCTCTCTTTTCTAAACTTGCTTTTACATACAAAATTCCGCATTCACAAGATCTAGACACACCTAGCCATATTCGAAGTTGCCTTCGCCCTAGACGTGAAAGGTTTAATTTCTGAGGGTTTGGTCCCAAATCTCTCTTTCAATTATTTAATTTAATTTGTTTTGATTGTTTTCCTTGAAGTTACTAATGTGTGTATTTTGTTATTAGAAAGAGGTACGAGGCATCAAAGTAAGTGCTTTAATGGTTTTTATTGATGTTATGATGTAGAGTTCATGTTTATATTGTTATTATGATATTCCTAGTATCATGTCTAGGGTAATTTTAATATTAAATATGATTGTTACGATGCTTCCTATGTTCTTCCTAATGTTTATGATTGTTAGTATCATGTTAGGGTTAAAGCTTTGATTTTTAATGCTTAGTGACATGCTAGGGTTTGTTATAAATCTTATTAGTATCATGACTAGGATCTTGCTATTATTATGCTTTAATATTAACATGAACATGATTATTATTATTATTATTATTATTATTATTATTATTATTATTATTATTATTATTATTATTATGTTGCTTGATATTTTTATTTATTGCTTGATCACACCTTTTATTGCATGTTTAAAGGGAATTTGGTACTTGTAATCACGCTTAATAAGATAATTAATAATCTTATTTAGGGTTAATTTTATTATAATTCAAGTGATCGCCAATAATAGATTTATTTGTGCATTAATATTCAACCAACATAGATAAACAGGTTTAGGGTAATCCTATTGATTGCATGTTAGTCAGAAAGCGCACATGAATACGATCAGAATAAATTAGAGGCCTATTATTAGGGCAGGTTCAATCTCTTTTAGGTTGGATTTGTACCTTCATCCCCGAACCCTTATTTGGTTCAAGACCTTATGGAGTTGACGATCTCTTGGATCGTTAAGGGGTGTAACCTTCACCCTGTGAACGGTTTACAAGTTCCTAAAACTTGTTGGCGACTCTTTTGCTCTATCTTCTTCCCTTTTGGACGCCACCGTACTTTAGTGTATGATCACAGTGGGGTTCAAGCAAAGGGGATTAACGCTTGAAATTATTCCCTACAGATCCCATGGTCAATACATTTTTTCTTAAAAAGGTCATTATCAAATTCCCTACCATGATCACATTGAAAGCATTTAATTTGACGTTCAAATTGGGTTTCAACATATTTTCCGAAATTGATAAAGGATTGAAAATCTTGAGATTTGTATTTTAAAGGAATTGTCCACACAAAGTGAGTATGATCATCTAATAAGACTAGATAATATTTGTGACCTTGAGTACTACGAATAGGAGATGTCCATAAATCAGCATGTATAATATCAAAAGCACAAACTGTAGTATTATTAGAATTATCAAAGGGAATTCGAGTATGTTTTCCTAATTGACATGAATTGCAAAACTTGGAGTCATGCTCCTTATTACAATGAATATGATTTTTAGACTTAAGATAGCTAAAAACTTGAGCTCTAGGGTGTCCTAGATGACTATGCCATGTAGATGGTGAAACAGTAGTGAGGGAAGTAGCAAGACAGGTTGACGGAGTGGACTTGGTGGTTCTGACTGGATATAGGTCCCCCGTACTATGACATCTCGTTATTATGTTCCCTGTATGAAAATCCTTCACAGAAAAACCAAAAGGATCAAACTCAATAGACACAGAATTATCAGAGGTAAATTTACGGACTGAATTAAGGTTCTTTATGAGTTAAGGTGCTAGAAGGACATCACGAAGGACAAGAGGTGTTTTAGTATGGGGAAAGGTGCCATGACCATAACCTGTTACTGGAATACGGTGACCATTACCAACTAAAATATGATTTTTAGTGCTTAAATTAAACAAGGGTAAGAGATTATCAGCGTTATTTGTCGTGTGAGATGTTGCACCTGAATCCACGTACCATTGATTGTCGGGATTTGGAAGAGTCATCGTGGAGAAAGAAGATGCCAATTATATTGGTGTCATGGGCTGCCCGTATTGAGCCGCGTATGCTTGCTGGGGTTTGGCTGTCCGAGAATGGATTGTTGCTGCAAAGTGGACCAGAAACAGAAACTTGATGTTGCAGCAAAGTGGACCAAAAAAGGTAGCAATGTAGGTGATGAAATTACCACGAAATATTAAAATTTTGCGGAAGAAAGAAAGGACCGGATTTTTTAGAAAAAATTAATTTTGTGGAACCTTAAAAAATCTAGGTTGTGATACCATGTTAGATTTCGGGAAAACTCCTTAGATTGGAGTGTGTACCATTGAATAATATATATAGAGTTACAATACTAGTCCTAATCCTGTTAGGAAACCTAGTACGATAAGAATACAAACTATATCGCAAATATATACAAATATATCCTACTATGCGACAAATGTTATAATAATCCTATAATATCTATCACATTTAGAATTTGGAATTGGATTTGACACAAATCCAACCCTTTAAACAAATCTGTCCATTTTAATGAATTTGAAATCCAATAACAAAAGCTGTTATTTCAAATTCTAGAAAGCTCATATATATTTTTATTGATGTTGTTTTGTTTCCCCTCCTCTCTTTCATTCTCTTCTCAACCACCATTAATGGAAGCTCGAATTTCTTGACTATACTGGATTTTTTTTTTTCCTTCATGTTCATCTCATTCTTCTGCCATTATTCTTCTCTTGAATGATGATATATTTTTTTATCCTCCATTAAAACTTGAAGCTAATTATTCATCAAGTATAACAACACATCTTTTAATTACCGTGAAATAATATCG